AGCAGCCGCCATTATTTGCACACCGAGTTGACACGAGTGCCGGTGATGTGCAAAGAAAGCACCCCCCCCAGGAATCACATCCAAACATTGACGGCGGGGGCAGATTCCAGCCCGCGTTGTTGTTGTTCCTTCTGGAAACGGCTGTCGGTGTTTGTCGAGAGAGTTTGTCGAGTATGCTGAGACAGAAACCGCTTCTCAAGACAAACAAGCAGAACAGTTTCGCCATCCGCCTTGCTCGGTTGGTCGAGGAAATCAAACCCGGGGTTTGGCTTGAGTCGCCGTAGATGTAATTACGCACAATCTCTTGACGAGGAAGTGCTCCGCTGTCCGTTCGCCGGCTGCCTCATGTGCGTTGTCTTTCCTTCTATTTGCTTGCGCAGAAGAGCGTGAAAGAGGGAAACCTGTTGAAGCAGACGAGCTCCTTTCAAAGGTGGAAGCGCCGGTACTTCAAGCTCCGTGGAAGAACGCTCTACTATGCCAAGGACTGTAAGGTAACTGCCGTCAAAAAAAAAAAAGCGGCCCCGTTCAGAATTGCTGCCAAACTATCGTCGTCGTCGTCGCTGCCCATTTTTGTCAACATGTTGTCTTTTTTTTTTTCAGTCTCTTATTTTTGACGAAGTCGACTTGTCCGATGCCAGCGTGGCCGAAACCGGCACCAAGAACATCAACAACAGCTTCACGGTGAGTGTCACCTCAAATGATGCTGCCCGTGACTTCTTGGTGAGGCTGCGTTGCTAATGCCTCACCTTCCTCAGGTTATCACTCCTTTTCGCAAATTGATGCTGTGTGCTGAGAACAGGAAGGAAATGGAAGACTGGATCGGGGCCCTCAGGTCTGTCCAGAAGTGGGAAATCTACGAGGTGAGTGTTTTTTTGGTGGGGTAGGGGGGGGCACCATTTGGACGGACCCTTCGTGCACGCTTTCTTCCTCACGTTCTCCATAAAGCAACGTCCTTTCAAGGCAAGCAATGCGGCTTAACGTTTGTGACTTCCTTCTCCGCGCAGGCCAGCCAGTTCAACGTGGAGCATTTTTCGGGAATGCACAACTGGTACGCCTGCTCGCACGCCCGGCCCACCTTCTGCAATGTCTGCAGGGAGGCCCTGCCGGGCGTCACCTCCCATGGCCTTTCCTGCGAAGGTACGCTCCCACGCGCACGCACGTTTTCCAGGAGACGTAAGCACCACTTTTGACTTGCCGTCTTGCCAAAGTGTGCAAGTTTAAGGCCCACAAGCGCTGTGCCGTTCGATCCACCAACAACTGCAAGTGGACCACGCTGGTCTCGATCGGCAACGACATCATTGAAGATGAGGACGGGGTGCGTGTTATTTTCGTTTGGGGCTCTGCTACTTTTTACGGGCGTGATATCCTTACACTGTGGTGGGCTTTTTTTTTCCCAGGTGTCCATGCCCCACCAGTGGCTGGAAGGCAACCTGCCCGTCAGCGCCAAGTGCGTGGTGTGCGACAAGAACTGCGGCAGCGTGCGGCGACTGCAGGACTGGCGCTGCCTCTGGTGCAAGGCGATTGTAAGAGCGACTCGTGGTTCCATCAACTCTCGCTTTGCTCGCTGTAAAATCCAAAACGATGCCGGGGGGCTGGGGGGGGGAATCAAAGGAATGCCGATTAGAATGAGAGAAGATACGAGATGATGTCAACTCCATCCCACGCTTGGACTTCAAAAGGCGCGCGTCGGTGTTGAGTGTTTTGGTCCGATGTGAGACAGCGTTCCTCGCGCGCACAAAAACATACGCGCGCGCACTAAAAACGCTGGTATTTGTAAAGGTTAGCCAAGTGTCATTGGTTGCATTTCACATTTGCGCTGGAACACGGAATTACTCTGGAGACTGCTTATTTTCCTGACGTGTGTGTATTTGTGTTTGGAAACACATCAGGTCCACAGCAGCTGTAAAGAACAAATGGGCAAAGTGTGCCCCCTGGGTCAGTGCAGAGTGTCCATCATTCCTCCCACTGCACTTAACAGCATCGACTCTGACGGTAAGAGCCCCCCGCCCCTCCCACCCCCCACCCGCACACAATGTCTTACCGGCCTGTGACCCTCGACGTTTCTTTTCTTCGTACATCAACTTGCTGCTCGTTAGGCTTCTGGAAGGCCACGTCTGCGTCTTGTTCCAGTCCCCTCCTGGTTCTCGTCAACTCCAAAAGCGGGGACAACCAGGGTGTCAAGTTCCTGCGCAAGTTCAAGCAGCTCCTCAACCCGGCTCAAGTCTTTGATCTGATGAATGGCGGTCCGGAACTCGGGTAGGGCTTGGGCTCTGCTGTCCGCGCTCAACGTGAACATTTTGCACCACGGGCGTTTCGCTCACCGTGTCTTGTTTTGTGTTCCAGACTGCGCCTCTTCCAGAAGTTTGTGACGTTCCGAATCTTGGTGTGCGGGGGCGATGGCAGTGTGGGCTGGGTGCTTTCGGAGCTGGACAAACTCAACCTCCACAAGCAGGTGAGAGCCGAGAAGGAGCCACGGTGGGAAGCGAGGGCGTGATGTCACCGCATTTGGGGCCACAACATCATCAACGCAGTCCGTTTTGTTGTTCGACGAGCTTTTGGTTTGAAAGAAAGTATCTCCTATGCTATATTAGTAAGGTAGAGCGACACTAATATAATTGTCAAGTAGTCGCGTATAGGAACCGAGACTAAATGTGTTTTCACACCTGCACTGTTTGGCCGACTTGATGAATATGAAAATGACAACACGTTTCCTGTTTGAATTTTTTTTTTTTTTTTTTAATGCGCTTTATACATGTGTGTGTTCTGAGAGAGTGTGACCAGTGCGCAATTGCACACACGTACTTCTTAGCGTGAATATTTCTATTGTTTTTTTTTCCCTTTTTTGCATGCCCTCATTCGGGGTGTGCATTTGCACCGACGTATTTTGTTGCGATATATCTTACACCGGAGCAAATTTTGTGGAGCGTTCACACGTAAAAAGCTGCTGGCTAAAGCGAAGCGTGTTTACCCCGGTGCAGCCCCACTTGCGTTCACACAGCAGTTTCCGCGGCCGTGCAATACGATAGTATTAATACGGAAATAAAACAAAGAGCTGTCGTGTTGGTTCTTTTTAAAACAGACACTTTATTAATTTGTTTAACTCAAGCAACTACAGGCACGTCCTTCTCCTTCT